GGAAGTAGCCGAAGCTGCCAAGCGAGCGAAGCGAGCGAAGCGAGCAATCGAGCGCAAGCGACGGAAGCGAGGAAGCCAAGCGAAAGAGACCGAAGCAATCGAAGCGAGCGCCACCCAAGCGAGCGAAGCGAGCGAGGCGAGCGAAGCGAGGGAAGCGAGCCGAAGCGAGGAGAAGAGAGGAAGCTAGTCGAATCAGCGAAGCATCGAAGCGAGCGAAGCGAGCAAGCGAGCGGAGCTACGGAGCTAGCGGAGCGAATGCAGCGGTAAGCTAGCTGAGAGAGCGGAGCGAGCTAAGCGAGCGAATTTTATCTAATCATCTATTGACGAAGGCGAGGCGGGAGTGGCTTGGGTTTTGTTTTATTTGGTGGTCTTTTTTATCTATCTTATTATCTTATCTATCTTAAGTATCTAATCGATCTAATCTATCTAATCTATCTATCTATCTAATCTATCTAATCTATCTAATCTATCTAATCTATCTAATCTATCTAATCTATCTAATCTATCTAATCTATCTAATCTATCTGATCTATCTGATCTATCTAATCTATCTAATTTATCTAATCTATCTAATCTATCTAATCTAACAAAAAAAAAAAATTTTTTTTTTTTTTTTCTATCTAATCTATCTAATCTATCTAATCTATCTGATCTATCTGATCTATCTAATCTATCTAATTTATCTAATCTATCTAATCTATCTAATCTATCTAATCTATCTTATCTATCTTATCTATCTTATCTATCTTAGCTATCTTATCTGATCTATGTTATCTATCTTATCTATCTTATCTATCTAATTTATCTAATCTATCTAATCTATCTAATCTATCTAATCTATCTAATCTATCTTATCTATCTTATCTAATCTATCTAATCTATCTAATCTATCTAATCTATCTAGTCTATCTAATCTATCTAATCTATCTAATCTATCTAATCTTTCTAATCTATCTAATCTATCTAATCTATCTAATCTATCTAATCTATCTAATCTATCTATCTATCTATTTATCTATCCGTCTGTCTATCTATCTATCTATCTATCTATCTATCTATCTATCCATTTATCTACCTATCTACCTGCCTATCTATCTACCTGCCTATCTATCTATATTTCTTTGATTTTTGTTCGTCATGATTATCACCATCATCATCATCAGCATCTTCTTCTTCATCTTCAGTATCAGCATCATCAGCATCATCATCATCATCATCATCATCGTAATGTTTTTCTTCTTTATGTTCATCTTGATTTTAATTCATTTTTTGTCCCCTCTCTCTCTCTCTCCACAATACAGTACCACATATGTTTGTATAAATTTATATGCATACAAACAATACATGCACATACACGCACATGTGTGTGTGTGTGCGTATTATCATTGGGTTGGACTGTTACGTTTGGTCGAAGCCACCAACAACAGGTGTGCGCGCTTGTTTGTGTGTGTGTGAGTGTGTTGATAGATGCGCCTAACCGCCCACTTTATGCAGGGGAAGGCAATGTATCTGAAGGTGCGCCAACAAATCGGACTCTTCCCAAGAGCTCTTTACTGCGCCAAAAGCACGCAAGTTTGAATCCCCACACAAAGAGCTAAACCAAGATGATACCCGATGAAAACAATGTTATAACATGTTATAACAACGTATTATATAGATACACCATATTTTTCCATGATTCACTCATATTTTTCCATTTTGAATCCAACTGAGGAGCTCTTTTTGAACCAAGATGATTTCTTGGCTTTCTCCCATCGCTTGAACCTCATGACCTACCAAGCATTGGAAGACTTTGCAGCTTGGTCAAGTGCAACACGTGGGGAGTTGAAAAGCAAACCATAAGCAATTTCAACTGGGGATGCATGAAAAAGAAGCAAATATATAGATAATGTATAGATATTATATATATAGAGAACATATGGATCATGTATAGATAATATATAAATTATATTTATATACACATATAATAATTTATGGATTATAAAGTGAATTTATAGATGTATAATATTTAAACTAAACAATATAGATGATATATCTATACATATAGATTACATATATATATATATATGTATATATAATCTAGATTGAGTTAGATGCATGCATATCTATATAGTTTTTTTTTTTTTTTGCGTTCAAACTTTCGGCAGCTTTGTCCATGTGGGTAGTCCACATGTACTGGCAGATGGGCTCAGGTCACTAACGTGGGATCGAAAAGAATGAACCGTTCCCAATAGATGGGTTGTGGTTCACGTTTTTTTCATCCCCTACTTGTGATGATTTAGAAAGAAGTCCCTTTGATGGTACTTTTTCTCAAAGCAAATTGATAAACAGGGGTGTGCCCCCAATCGATTATCCGATAAGTGCATGATACATATGCATTTAATCAGTCAAGTGGCCCATCTTGATTGGTAAATCCGGATGATCATATAAATTACTTTACTCCGAGTGATCCCCACCGTGACAACATATTTTGTTATAATTTCTGAATGTTTCTGACATTTTATTTGAAAAAAAAACACACACACACACATATATATATATACATATTATGTACATGGCATATATTTTCTGACATTCTATTGTCAATAGAAATTCTGGCATTCTATTTGGCATGTATTCTGACATCCTATTTGGCATTCTATCCTATTTGGCATGTATTCTGACATCCTATTTGGCATTCTATCCGGCATTCTATTTGACATTCTTTCTGGCATCTATTCCGGCATGCTATCTGGCATCTATTCTGACATTCTCTCTGACATGGGCACTGCCGAACTCTAACCGAGCGCCAGATCTCAGTGGACCTGATCTGGAGCTCGCGGTTTAGGTCCGGCAGTGCCCACTGAGATCTGGAGCTCACAGCTGAGGTCCAGCAGTGCCCACTGAGATCTGGAGTTCGCTGTTGGGAGGAAGGAAGGAAGGAGATGGAAGGAGGAGGAAGGAGGAAGTAACTCTTAATTAATGAAATCTCGAGACCCTCATGGATCTCATGGCAGGTGGGGAAAAACATATGTATGAGGATGGGCTGAACTCGTCATGTTATATAGTGCGAATTACGTTGTATGATGTTGTATAAATGTTCCATTGATGATGGTGGTGTTGATGTTGATGATGATGCTGATGATGGTGATGATGATGATGATGGTGATGAGCCTGTTTGACTATATAAGGTGGCGAATTCAACAACAAACAATCCCCAATGTTGCCAGACATGGGTGGTATATGGTGGTATAAACCAGCAAACTTGGACATGTTTAAACGTTTGTGGCATTGAGTTTGCCAAAAAAAAAGTGTGTCATCAGCGCGTTTCCCCGTGAAATGGCGATCATCAGGATATAAATCCCCAACTCTTGATCAGACCCATATAATTTTTGTTCTTTCTTGCGTATGTACACATGTACAGTACAATTGTAAGTGTGTATATATATATATATTTCAGATTAGTTGTTTATTATGCTGGCATTCATTTATGGAACCATCATGCTATATCATGCTAAACTTTGTTGGTGTATATATATATATATCTATATAACCATCCAGTACTGTTTCAATTTCCCATAGGATTTCCCGCATCTGCACGGTGCCCTTTTTTTGGCGCAGGGCCCCACGGGCTGTTTCGCCGCGGATCCGGCACCGCCGCCGGTGCTGGTGTTGAGCGCTTGCGGCCTGGCGGATCCCGAACATCGGCAGCCCAGGGGCGGCATTGCCCAGGCGCGGGTGTGCGCTGCAACCCATGGTTTCAGCAGCAAAAAAAAGGGGGACTTAACCAGGAAAAATAGGGATAGAAACAGCAAAACAAGTGATTTTCTCGAGTGTGTCTGAAAATTGGGGATTCAAAAATGGAGATCAATCCAGCCCAGTCACTCCAAAGGACAAGTAACTACAGTCCGTTTGAATAAAGGACTTACATGACTGAAAAAAACACATGCCGAATAGATTCCCAATTTCCCCACCATAGGGCCAGCATGAGGAGGCACTCATAAGAATTTTTGTCGCGTAACATGCGTGATTTTCCTGCATTTATCTCGAGGGTTTTTCACGGCCTTTTCACGATGTTTTCACATGTTTTTTTCATGGTATTTTCATGGTTTTATCACAGTGTCATTATTTTCCCGCATTTTGAAGGCGTGCCCTCAATTTTCAAAACGTGGGGATATCTTTTGGGGTGGGACCCTGCTTGGTCTGCAAAAAAAAACATCGCCAAAGACTTCACCAGACCAGGCCATTAGTAAAGGCTTAGTCTAGTGAGGACGTAGACCGACAGGGCAGCAAAAATGATGATTTAAACAACAACAGTAGGGACTTACTTGAGTGTGTCTGAAAAATTGGCTACCCAAACATCCATTGGTTAATCATCGTGTTCGCTTTGAATTTGGCAGCGTTTGGAGGGTATAGCCCATGTTCAGTCACGCCCATATCTGGAAAATGAATAACGGAGAATACTTCCTTATTGATATATATATATATAGGGGCATACATTGGAAATATATTTATATGGGTCATAATATGTGGGCATTTGGTAATTTGGTATATTAATGTGTATAGGTGTTTTTTTAAATGTTCAATTGTATAATGTGGGTTATGTATGGGGCACTGGCATTTACTTATCAGATTAGGAATAATTTCCCCAAAGAGGGACGCAGAACAGAACAAAATCAAAATCCATTTCAAAAAATAGTTTATTAAAAAGAAATATATTACAATTATAAAGTTTTCTTTTTCATATGTATGCAGTGCTTGCGATTATTTTTAAGATGTGTTTTTTTTTTCTCAAACGTAGATTGATACTTATGCAAATAACAATATATATATATATATATATGCAAACAAAACTGGACAATAAAATGATAGATAGCAACAGACGCCTGTTCACATTGCTACCAACATAAATTGGCACTCATGGAATGGTACCGTAAATGGCTATGCGTCGCAAGCATTTTTCCACTTCCCAGTAGTTGCCCATGGCTGATCAGGTTCCAATTTTTGGTCACCGGACCTGCCTTTCTTTTGGCATCGTTGGTAGATCAAAATGATAGAAACGTAAATGATTTTCTCTATTTATTTGGTGGTTGCTACTGATAATATTTGATGATATGTATTTAAATATGGTATATATACATATGTAAATATATAAATAAATAATTAAATCGTTAAAACAATAATACATAAGTACGTAAGTGGAGAGAGAGATATATATGATATATATATCTGTACATATGGACCATTCAGTATTGCAATCTGCATATTCACTTCGAAGGCTTTGGACTTTCCATCAGGCCTTGAAGACCTGGAGGACCATGTGGTCTGGCTATTTCCAGGAGCTCGGAGAGTGGGGGTTTCCACAGTCATGTGGGTTTCCTCAAAATATGGTTACTAATGGTTAATATATGGTGAATATATAGTTAATGATGGTTAATAATTTTTAAATGGTTAATATGTAGTTAATGATTTCTAATAAATGGTTAACATATAGTTAATGGTGGTTAATATATGGTTAATATATATATATATATTGTTAATGATGGTTAATATATGGTTAATATATAGTTAATGATGGTTTATATATGGTTTATACATGGTGAACATATAGTTAATGCTGGTTAATAAATGGATAATATATAGTCAATGATTGTTTATAATTTTTAGTATATAGTTAATGATTGCTAATAAATGGTTAATATATAGTTAATGATTGTTAATATTGGTTAATAAATGGTTTATATATAGTGAATGATGCTTAATAACTGGTTAATATATAGTTAAAGATGGTTAATAAACGATCAAACAATACTTAATGATGGTTAGTATATGGTTAATATACAGTAATGATGTTTAATACATGGTAACATATAATACAGTCAATGATGGTTAATATTTGGTAGTATACAGTCAATGATGGTTAATATGGTACTAAAGGTAAAAGTATGGCTAATATATGGCTAATATATACTTAATGATGGTTACTAATGGTGAATAATGGTTCATAATTGGTGATAATGGGGTTTACATGGGGATGCCCGAATAGCTGGATGGTTTATGTCATGGAAAACCCGATAAAATGGATGATGAACAGGGGTAGCTCCATGACTTAGGAAATCTCCAGCTAGGTTAACAATAGTTAACATAGGTTAAATCGGGTTCAACGTGTATTACAACTATAGTGAGATGGGCAATGAAGCATCTTTGAACCACTTTGTAGCGTCTTAGTAGCAAGTGACATCACTTTTTTCCGGGGACCCTGAACTCTTCAAGCGGGACGAATAAGAATCCGGGGTTGACACTACGTAAAATGGAGGGCGGGAAAATACGGGTTCTCAGGATGACCTCAGGTGCCTATATCCCAACTTAAGTTTGTTTAGTTTCACCTATTCCACTAAAGATTTATTTAGATATATTCAGCATAAAGCCTACTTATAAGCCCCTTGTGTTTTCCTCAGAGCAGGGTACCCCTTACCGTCCCATCACAGTGCAAGCCTTATTTTCCAACTTTAACATGATCTGCCTTTTTTTTGCTGATCCCGACCTCTCATTTTTGGACACTCGCATTTTTGATCATTTTTGTTGGTTAGATGGTAAAGACTTCCATTATGCCACATGTTGCCATATTTTTTCTTAATTATCAGTATTGTTTCCAAGCCCATTGTGGAAGTATGATCCGGGGTTCCAAACACAACCTCACCATCATGACATAGCGTTGGCTTCTAAATACCATCCTCAGGATATGATTCGGTTTGCACGGTGATTTACCCTATCAATCCCTATCATATCGTACCTTGTTGTTTCATCAACACATAAATGGAACATCCACCGGACACCCGTGGATTTCCATCGGACTACTTTCCATCCGAGTAAGTCCCAAGAAGATTCCCAGATTACATTCATCATCCCCATTATATACACATCCTCCAGAGTTTTCTTGGTGAAATCCTCCATTTCGGGGTGTAACAATATATTGTTAAGTATTATGTAGTGTGAGATATCAAAACTACCCCCAGAAACCTTACATTTAGGTTTCATATCCATCCCTATTAATCCCTATTATCACCAGAGTTTTCCAAAAAAACACCATCTATATTCCATCCCTAATAGACTTAATCCCATCCTGGTTGGTGGTTTCAAACATTGTTTATTTTCCATGATATATGGGATAGTCCTTCGCATTGACTTTCATATTCTTCAGAGGGGTTGAAACCACCAACCAGATAACAATTAACCATTATTAACCATTATTAACCACCATTAATGGTCATTAACCACCATTAACCATGTACCTATGGAAACAAGAGCATCATTAAGTACCACCAACCAGCATCATAAGTCCTATGAAAATCCCATGTACCACACCAGTCCCGTGCCAAACCCCACCAGGCCGTTGTCATCGCCTGTGGTGATCGGGAGACTGCCGCCATCATTGACCGCGTGGTAAACACCGAAGCTGGGAACGGCAACGGCGGGCGAAGCGGAAAGCTGCTGATAGGATGGGAATGTAACAAAGAATAGGATGGATAGGTAATATATGGATAATATATGGTCATATGTAATTAATCAGTATTTCTAATGATGATTACTAACTAAGATTATAATTGTAATTATATATATATGTATATGTGTGTGTGTGTGCGTGTGTTAATTTTGGTTAATGGTTAACCTATAATCTACAACTCCATAATGGGCATAACACCATGAAATATGGTGGATTACCATTGAGCATGTATCTGGCTAGACTGCGGGGTTCGTCATCCCCAGATGGTGTCCCGTTTCACAGCGAGGTGGCGAAAATGACGACATTTTTCAACAGCACCAGGAGTATTAGTTTCAGGAGGTGGGACCACGCATATGTATGTATAATAATATAATATAATTACATATATATATATATTGTCAATTTACATATTAATATTCAAATATGTATATATATATATATTTAAATATTGTTAATTTACATATTAATATTCATTTATATATATATATCTTGTTAATTTACATATTGACATTCATATATATATATATATTTTTTTTTGGTAATCTACATATCAATATTCATATATATTTATAAATATATATATATATTTACATATTGTGAATTTCCATATTAATATTCACATATATATATATATATATTTTGTTCATTTACATGTTAATATTAAATATATATATATATAAATATTGTTAATTTACATATTAATATTCAAATATATATACATATAAATATTGTTAATTTACTGATTAATATTCATATATATATATATCTTTCTTGGTAATTTACATATTAACATTCATATATTTATAGTTGGGTAATTTACATATTAATATTCATATATATTTTCAAATATATATACATATATATTGTTAATTTACATATTAATATTCATATATATATATTGTTAATTTACATATTAATATATATATATATCTATATATATAAATATTGTTAATTTACATATTCATATTCATATATATATATATATTGTTAATTTACATATTAATATTCATATATATATATATATTGTTGATTTACATATTAATATTCATATATATATATATATTGTTAATTTACATATTCATATTCACATATATATATATATATTGTTAATTTACATATTCATATTCATATATATATATATATATTGTAAATGTACATATTAATATTCATATATATATATATTGTTAATTTACATATTAATATTCATATATATATATATATTGTTAATTTACATATTAATATTCAAATATATATATATATATTTAAATATTGTTAATTTACATATCAATATTCATATATTTCTATATACTGTATTGTTAATTTACATATTAATATTCATATATATATATTGTTAATTTACATATTAATATTCATATATATATATATTGTTAATTTCCATATTAATATTCATATATATATATATTGTTAATTTACATATTATATTCATATATATATATGCATCTATAGCTCTTGTTGTTTGGGGCTGACTGTACCAAGCTTCAGCCAAGGATGTCTACATGAAGGCCAGCTGAGTGCCATGTGGTGTTTACCGCCAGAAAATCTACCATTTTGGGATGATTTTTACCACCCATGTATATGGTGATGGTTTCTAGGTGATAAATGTATGCTTTGTGATGGTGATAAATGTACCATTTAAATCCATTTATGGGGATGTTACATGCTTCACATTGGTGATGGTTTCAAGGAATCGGGATCCGGATCCATTGGACAACTGGCTACATACACACCAACCGTGGTCACAACCCATTGTACATAGGACAATTCGAAGAACAGGGAACGACAAAGATGTGTATGGAGCATATATTTTCTTACAATCTGAAGACATTTGGGCCAAATACTAATGTTAAATAAATTACAAATCAATCGTTCGCTACGTTTGCCTTGATTTGTATGGCTGTTTTTCATTGTGGCTGGTTGTTTGGGGCATCAATTATTCAGGACCAATTTTGCACTATTTACAGTATATAATGTGTCGGTTTTTGGAGAGGCCCATATCACATTGTCTGTGTTGGTTATAGATCCCATTGTATCACACATCGTGGTCGGTTTGATTCCCCCAATTTCGTTGTTTGATTCCCAAACTGATTCAACCGAATAACCTGAATACCATCATTTTTTGTTGATTAAATCGCGCACATTTTATCCCAGTATATTTGAGCACATTATATTCCGATGAACGATGAAAGGCTGTTTTACCAGCATTTTCCCTATACGTTTCTAGTGTCAACCCCGGATTAGACAACTCCGTTGATAAATCTGGTTGGTGTCCCTTAAAGTATAGTGATACCATGTGATACCGTGATACATCCCTTTTGACCTTGGACCCCCCTATCAGTAAACTGGGGCTGAATTTGGAATGAGATCAACATTAATATATGTTCCCATCTTCTCCCACCAATATATCTACCATTATATCCAATTCTATCCCATTTCATCTCCAAAGATGGATGGTTTTGTACCCCAGCTAGATAGCAACCCCCAAAGAGACAGAAAAACACATTACCAACATTTCAGAAATAGATCTTACAGTATATGATCTTATTGTATTTTGCCTTTTTCTTGGGTGGTTCGCTGGCTCTTTTTTCAGTAGATTTTACTTTTTCATTGCATAAATTCAAAAATTGATGAATTTGCCCACTACATCCTTGGATAATAATTCTCCATCAAATTGATGGAGATTCTTGGTAGTGAAGTGGCATCCATTTATGAATTCTATTGCTATCTTACTTTGAATTTCTAACAATTTTCCATAGAAACGCCGTCAAGAATGCGAAAACGTGTTTCCAGGATGTTGGTTTGATGATATTTGCCTTCCTGTAATCAAGCATGGCAATGGCACCTCCCATTAGATGATGATGTTCCCCTTACACTTTTTATTGAGTCGGGAAATTCCCAGGCATGTTTGATGACACCATTGGGGGTATATCTCATTGTACCCCCATTACAACCCCTTTAAATCCCCGAATCCCATTCAACATGAACCAGCATTTCTGATGATTATCCATGCACGTTACATTACATCCCTATTATATCCCATTATACCACCGTTTTTCTTAGTTGAATCGCCATAAATCTCCATAAATGAACTTGATCTAGATTAAAATCCCGGTAGAATCCCATTAAACCATCATGTTTGATTATAAAACTAGCATTTTTCCATGCAATACCATTAAATCACCATTAGAATCCCATCACCATTAGATTCCCATGAAAAAGACATGAAACCACCATGTGTCTTAGTTACACATCCCATAAATCACCAAAAAAGGTATTATAACATATTATAACATATTACATTATTCTTTGCTCATTCTTGACTATTCACATCGATATCATATCCCACTTTTCATTGCATATCCCAGGTTTCCCACGTTTCACTTTCTGAGGTGTCACCATGAAAGAATCCCATTCAACATGATCAAACCACAATTTTTCTGGGTTATAATATCTATAAGTATAAGACTCCCACATAGTATAGTTTTGTTTCGTTATATATATATATCTATATATACTGGTTGGTGGTTTGGCGCATTTTTTTCCATTCAGTTGGGAATTTCATCATCCCAACTGATGAACTCCATCATTTTTCAGAGGGGTAGGTATACCACCAACCAGTATATAAATATATATATATATATATATTTGCACAAATCCCCCATTTTTCTGTGTGGGTCCAATTAGCGCCAAAACCATTAGTTTTAGACTCGCATTTTTGCCACTTTGGTTATATATATATATTATATTAACCATATATTCAGCATATATGAACCATTATATGAACCATTATATTAACCATATATTCACCATATATTCACCATATATTCACCATATATTCACCATATATTAACCATTATATTAACCACATATTAACCATATATTGACCATATATTAACCCCATATTAACCATATATTAACCATATATTAACCATATATTAACCATATATTAACCATATATTGACCATATATTAACCATATATTGACCATATATTAACCATACATATATATGGTGCAGCGTTGGCCACCCCCCCTCCCCCCCCCCTGTGGCCTGTGGTGGTGGTATGTTCTTCTGGTCCCCCCCACCCTGGGGCTGTGTGGTGGTATGGTTCTCGGGTCCCACCCCCCTGTGGCTGTGAGGTGGTGGTATGTGGTGTGGTATGTTGGTATGTTGGTATGTTGGTATGTTGGTATGTTGGTATGTTGGTATGTTGGTATGTATGCTGGTATGTTGGTATGTATGCTGGTATGTATGTATGTATGTATGTATGTATGTATGTATGTACGTAGGTATGTAGGTAGGTAGGTAGGTATGTAGGTATGTATGTATGTATGTATATACACCACCACAGGGGCATCATACCCCCCCCCATCCCATGGGGGGGTGGGAACACGGGACACGGGACCATATATATATATATATAAACCATTATATTAACCATATATTAACCCCATATTAACCATATATTAACCATATATTAACCATACATATATATATATATAGATATACATATAACCAGAAAAATCCCAAATTGGCCACTTTTCACTGTCCATTTGGGTTCAGGTTGGGTTCAGGTCACTGGGGTCACTGGGGTCACTGGGGTCACAGCGCTTGAGCCGCTTGAGGTCCTGCAAAACCAGCCCCTGAGCCCTTCAGCCAAGGAATGGCACTGGAAACTGGCCGCTTGGCCGAAAAATGCGAAAAATGGCTGGAGCATGAGGATTTAGCTATGAAAAATGGGGAGATATACCGGTAAACTCAGAGTTTGCTATTCAACATGGCTCATCGATAGCTGATTTACATATGAAAAACAATGGTGATTTTCCATAGCTATGCTGGTTTACCAGAGGGTAAGCTACAGAAAATTGCACTTTGCATACGTACAGCAATGGGTTTTGATGCTGGGGTTTCGGTAGATTATATCACTGGCGGATGAAGCAGCCTCGAAAATTCTAAAATGCTGGTCATGGAAGTGTGGGAGGACAAACAAAACCAAGCAAG